GGACACGGCAGAACAAGGAACTGCACAGCAGGGCATGGCAAGGGACAGCCGGGTAGGCCAGAGCAAACTCGGTCAGGACAAACTAGGCCATGGCGACGGCTGCATGCGGTGTAGCGGGACATGTCAACAGAGGCCAGGACTGAGTGCGGCAGGGCACGGCAGGGCAGAGCAGGGCAGAGCAGGACACGGCAGGGCAGAACAGGACAGAGCAGGGCAGAGCAGGGCAGAGCAGGGCACGGCAGGGCAGAGCAGGACACGGCAGGGCACGGCAGGGCAGAGCAGGGCACGGCAGGGAACGGTAAAGCAGGGCACGGCAGGGCAGGACAGAGCAGGGCAGAGCAGGGCACGGCAGGGCAGAACAGGACAGAGCAGGGCAGGGCAGGGCAGGGCAGAGCAGGGCACGGCAGGGCAGAGCAGGGCAGAGCAGGGCACGGCAGGGAACGGTAAAGCAGGGCACGGCAGGGCAGGGCAGGACAGAGCAGGGCAGAGCAGGGCACGGCAGGGCAGAACAGGACAGAGCAGGGCAGAGCAGGGCAGAGCAGGGCACGGCAGGGCAGGGCAGGACAGAGCAGGGCAGAGCAGGGCACGGCAGGGCAGAACAGGACAGAGCAGGGCAGAGCAGGGCAGAGCAGGGCACGGCAGGGCAGAGCAGGGCACGGCAGGGCAGAGCAGGGCATGGGTAAGCCAGGCTAGGTGGGGGTGACTGCGTGCGGTATGCGTGCGTGCTTGGAAGCGAGACCACATCAAGCCGCCCTGCCTTCAAGGTCGCCGCCGCCGCCGCTTGCATGCTTGGGTCTCCTGCCCGGGCGACGTTCACAACGCACCTTCTCCGCACACGTGTCGGGGAGGGGGGGAGGAGGGGGGAGGAGGGAGTGGTGCGGGAAGGGCGGGGGGGGGGGGGGGAGTTGTGGGTGGAGGATGAAAGTAATTTACGGAGGAGGAAGAAAACATAAATAAGATGAAAGATGAAGGAGTAGGGAAAATGACGAAGAAGGAAAATACAAAAAGAGAGAGAAAAAAAGTGAATCACACAGACTAACAAGCGGAGCCGAGCGCACACACAATAAAAAATCAAACCACAAACACACAAAAGCGCACACACAAATCCCAAAATACACGCACACAAACACACCCTCGCATACACACATATATTTAGCAAGTGACCGAAACCAAAAGTGCTACGAGAGAGAGAGAGAGAGAGAGAGAGAGAGAGAGAGAGAGAGAGAGAGAGAGAGAGAGAGAGAGAGAGAGAGAGAGAGAGAGAGAGACAGACAGAGACAGGAGAAAGAGAGAGACAGGAGAGAGATAGGAGAGAGAGAGAGAGAGAGAGAGAGAGAGAGAGAGAGAGAGAGAGAGAGAGAGAGAGAGAGAGAGAGAGAGAGAGAGAGACAGGAGAGAGAGAGAGACAGGAGAGAGATAGGAGAGGGAGAGAGACAGACGAAATAGAGAGGGAGGGAGGAAGGGATGGAGAGTGAGTGAGAGTGAGAGTGAGAGAGAGAGAGAGAGAGAAAAAGAGAGAGAGAAATAAAGAAAAAGATACAGAGAGAGAGAGAAAAAAAAAGTGAATGCAAAAGCCGACTCAGCATCCTGCCAAGTGTCTCTTCGGACCTCTCTCTCTTACTCCATCTTCTTTTTTTCTTTTCTTTCTTTTTCTTTTTTGTATTTTTTTTTCTTTCTTTCTTTTTAAACTTCTTTACTGGTTCGCGCGCGGCAGTCAAAATCCCACTTTCCTTGAGCGTTGTCTCCGAGGCATAGTTGCGCCGTTACTCAGGCACCCTCAGGCTTCTCCTGACCCTCGAGCTGCTGAGTCACTGCTTGAAGGCTGAAGGAGACGCTGGACACCCAACAGCTGTTTTTGCTGTTTCTTTTTTTTTTTTTTTTTTTTTGCCTAAGGTACTGCTGAGTCTTTTTTTTATATGATCGGGGTCGCTCGCTGATTGTTATTAACGATCCTTATGCATATAATTATTAAAATGAAGTATTGTTAGTTCCTGTATCTTTTTTTTTCTCTCTTCTCTTTTTTTTTTCTTTTTTAGTTTTTTTTTCAACTCGACTCGATTCTCGTTACTGTACTTTTCTCTATCTTCCTTTTTTTTCGACTAATTGTTTCGTAATCGTTGGCCACTCACGTAAACATCTCTCTCTCTCTCTCTCTCTCTCTCTCTCTCTCTCTCTCTCTCTCTCTCTCTCTCTCTCTCTCTCTCTCTCTCTCTCTCTCTCTCTCTCTCTCTCTCTCTCTCTCTCTCCTCCCTCTCTCTCTCTCTCATTATACCCTTCTTACTCCCCCCTTTCCCTCACTCTCTTCCTCCCCTTCCCCTCTCCCTCTCTCCTCTCCCTTCCCCCTATCCCCCTATCCCCCCTTCTCTCTCCCCTAGCAACCTGGTCCCCCCCAACAGCGATTAAAGCTACGTTCATCGCATTGCATTGTTGAAATCGCCTCCCAATTGCAACTGACGTTCATGTTACGTCTCGGGGCTGCTTACCTCCTCATTTTCGCGTC